CTCTGTCCCCCAGGCTGGAGTGCAGTGGTGCAATCTTGGTTCACTGCAACCTCCACTTCCCGGCGATTCTCCTGCCTCTGCCTCCTGAGTAGCTGGGACTACAGGCATGTGCCCAACTAATTTTTGTATTTTTAGTAGAAATGGAGTTTAACCATGTTGGCCAGCGTGGTCTCAAACTGCTGACTTGAAGTGATCCCCCTGCCTTGGCCTCCTAAAGTGCTGGGATTACAGGCATGAGCCGCTGCACCTGGCTCATTTTCAGTTATTTTCTGATCACTCACTGATGTAGGCATTGTGGTGGGTGAGAGGATATAGCAGTGGACAAAATAGGCAAGGTCAGGCTGGGTGCAGTGGCTCAGGCCTGTAATCCCAGTACTGGGAGGCCGAGGTGTGTAGGTTTCTTAGGGCCAAGAGTTCACAACCAGCCTGGGAAACAGCAAGACCCAATCTCTGCCCCTTCCCTTTCCACCCCCCGCCAAAAAAGTTGGCAAAGTCCTATTCTAATGAAGGTCACAGTCTCATGGGAGAAGTGAAGGCGAGTCAGATAGTCATGCCTATAAATGTGTAATTATTATTACCATTTTTGGAGACAAGAGTTTTGCTCTTGTTGTCCAGTCTAGAGTGCAGTGGGGCCAATCTTGGCTCACTGCAACCTCCACCTCCCGGTTCAAGCAATTCTCCTGCCTCAGCCTCCTGAGTAGCTGGGATTACAGGCATGTGCCACCACAGCCGGCTAATTTTTGTAGTTTTTTTTTTTTTAGTAGAGATGGGGTTTCACCATGTTGGCCAGGCTGGTCTTGAACTCCTGACCTCGTGATCCGCCCACCTCAGCTTTCTAAGTGCTGGGATTACAGGCGTGAGCCACCGTGCCTGGCCATAGATGTGTAATTATAAGCAGTTGTCCCAGAGAATGGGACGTTTAACCTCAGGTCTACTGTAGAAGGTAACGAGATTTAGGACACAGTGGAGCTGGGGTGGAGATAACAGGAATGGGGCATGCAAAGGCCCTGTGGCAGGGACCATAACGAGCCCGGTGTTGCCATAGAGGCCAATGGGAGCAGTGGGGAGGAGTCTGGGTTTTATGCCAAGAACATTGAAGGATCCATTACCAGTCGGGGTCTCATCCACCCACCCCAGTGGTCTAGCCAGTCGTCCTCCTGCTCATGCCCTCCCTGGCTCCCCATCACCCTAGGAATAAAGTCATCGGTCTGCTATTCTGAGCCCTTCCTGATCTTGCCCCACTCCTCTTCCTGGATTCTTCCAGTTCACGTCATTTCCCACCACGGGAAATGGGCAGTTAACAGCCACATTAAAATTGTCCAAAAAATAGGCCAGGCATGGTGGCTCACACCTGTAATCCCAGCACTTTGGGAGGCCAAGGTGGGCAAATCACGAGGTCAGGAGCTCAAGACCAGCCTGACCAATATGGTGAAACCCTGTCTCTACCAGAGATACAAAAATTAGCCAGATGTGGTGGCAGGTGCATGTAGTCCCGGCTACTCTGGAGGCTGAGACAGGACAATTGCTTGAACCCAGGAGGCGGAGGTTGTAGTGAGCTGAGACTGTGCCACTGCACTCCAGCCTGGTGACAGAGCGAAACTCTGTCTCAAAAAATATATATATATGGCCGGGCGCGGTGGCTCACGCCTGTAATCCCAGCACTTTG